TAGCGGCTGTCAATGAGACAGCCACTAGAGGCTGGATTGACCCTAATGTAAACATAGCAGTTTCTCTGAAACTGCTATGTTTACAGCTGCAGGGTTAACCCTAGATGGACCTGGCACCCAGACCACTTAATTGATATAAAGTGGTCTGGGTGCCTATAGTGGTCCTTTAAATAAATTTCAGAAGAAGTTAGTAGAAATAGAGATCGGGGTGATCAAGCGGATGTGATCTACTTGGATTTTGCTAAGGCATTTGATATAGTCCCACACAAAAGGTTAATATTAAAAGTGAAATTAGTTGTTTTAGATGGAAAGTCGTGTTCTTGGACTTAAAGATAGAGTGCAGAGTGGAGTTGTAAATGGAAACATTTTAAATTGGCCAAAAGTGGTAAGCACAGAACTTCAGAGTTCTGTACTGGGTCAACTTCTTCTAGTAATCTCTGTTAATCCGTTGCTTCTCTATATGGAAGCATTGGTAGGCTAGTGAACTTCACTGTGCAAATCAAGAAGAATTAAATCAGTGCATATCTATGGGACCGTTCAGCATCTCCATGCAGCATGTTGAAATGCTGATCATAGCTCATGCAGAGAACCCACCAGGAATTCAATCTTGTGGCTGTGCAAGTGAAAGCCACTAGAGATGGACTTTTCTATGGAAAGGTACTGCTGACCCTCTTTTTAGCAATCTGTAATATTAAGAAATTAAAGTGGATGTTTGTATTATGCCAAGTGAACGCTGATTTATGGAACACTCCTGAAAGCGTCCTTGAGCTTCCAAATGTAAGTAGTCAAAACATTGACTAACTTCTCACCTGGGGTCTTCAAGACAGAAGATGTCTTGGGCTCAGCTCAGAAAAAAGAACTCCTGGCAGTAGTGGATGCAGGGAGTGGTGCCCAGGAGACCCCAGGTAACAGGTCAAACCATTGGTTTCACTAAATACATTGGGGAGCTTTCAAGGCTTTAAAAGAAAAGAGAAAATAAATTAAACTGAGCTATGTGAATGAGCCAAGAACGAGTGCAGTGACAGAGCTGAATCTTTTGCACACGTCCCTTAGAGATGTCACAATGCAGCCAGACGTCTCCTAGTGACTCATCTTCCTGAATGGGCCGTGCTCAAAGAAAAACCACCAACTGAGCGGAGTGAAACACTGACCTGGGCTGGGTATTCCTCTAACTTAGATAGCTGAATGGATTAACGGGGCATTCTACACCTGAATAACCAAGACTGGATTATAGAACAGTGACTCATGGGTCACTTAAAATTATTTGGCCCAATTAAGTCAAATAAATATATATATATATAAATAAATAATAATACAATCACAAAAATAAAAATAAAACACTGGATTGAAAATATATAGTGATCTTACAACTCCTTAATGACCAAAGATTTCTCCTGAGATTATCACAGTCTGGCCCCTAAATGTCTTACTCATTTATTACATGTTTATTCCATTATAAGAAACAATGTACGGGCTATAGGGCAAGTTTGTCAATCTATGATTGAATAGAAGGGGGGTAGGCAAATGTGGCAATGATAGACTAATAAAGTGCTAGTTAATTTCTTGAATGGACTATAGCACATATGAAAAGATTATGACATGTAAGGAAATTAAGTGATGTAGAAATATATAATTGTTGCACTAAATAATCAAATAAAATATGTTAACACAGTAAGAATACTCATTTGGGATTCCTGCAAATCATTAATAACATGTGAAAATTATTTTGGCTTCATACTATCTTTTTAATAAACAAGATATACCAAAAATATATATAACCAAAAATGAAACATTATAATGTAGTATATAAAACAAATCAATGGGATATTATATTGTGATCACAAATGCCAGGTCACGGTTTCTCAAGACTATATTACCGACCAGGGCCAGACTGGCCCACCGGGATACCGGGAAATTTCCCGGTGGGCCGCGGCACCTGGGGGCCGGCCGCGTTCCTGGCGGGAGCCGCCGGGCCGGGTGGCAGCTTCCCCGGTCCGGCGGCCCTGCTCCTGTCACTGCTGTGGCTGATGGAGGAGGAGCCTGTCTCTGTACCATGCTCCCTTGTGGTTCCCGGCACAGAGACATGCTCCTCCTCCATCAGCCACAGCAGTGACAGGGGCAGGGCCGCTGGACCAGGGAAGCTGCCACCCGGCCCAGCGGCTCCAGCCAGGAACGAGGCCGGCCCCCTGACTTCTCCAGGTAAAGGGGGGGGAGAGGGGAATAGAGGGAGGAGGGAGAGACACAGGGAAAGGGGGGGGAG